TTTTGATAAATAAGGATAGTTATCGATAAACTTATTTAAAATTATAAAAAATTTATTTTGAGCTATAAAATAAATAAAACTTAAAATTTGCGAATTTTTGAAAATGTTATGCCAAAATTGGGTATTGATAAATACAAGGCTAGGCTAGTTGCAAAAGGTCTTAAACAACTGGAAGGCCTAGAATTTTTTGATACTTTTTCACCGGTAACAAGAATTACATCCATAAAACTTTTAATTGCTATGACTGCAATTTTTTATTTGCAAATTCATCAAATGGATGTAAAAACTGCTTTTTTAAATGGAGACCTAAATGAGGAAATTTATATGGATCAACCCGAGTCTTTTGTTGAAGCAGGCCAAGAAAACAAAGTATGTAAACTTACTAAATCCCTATATGGCTTGAAACAGGCACCTAAGCAATGACATGAAAAAGTTTGATTCTTGCATGATTGAAAATGGTTTAAACAATGAGTGTGATAAGTGCATATATCATAAGTCTTGGAATAATTCACATGTGATTATTTGCCTATATGTTGATGATTTGTTGATCTTTGGCTTTAACATGAATGTTATTGATGATGCTAAAAATATCTTAGAAGCCATTTTGATATGAAAGATCTTGGTGAGGCAAATATTATTCTTGGAATAAAAATAACAAGAACATGTGATGGAACCTTGACCAGTCAGATTATGTTGAGAAAATCTTAAAAAAATATAACTTTCTTGATTGCAAGCATGTTGCTACTCCTTTTGATTCAAGTGTTCACTTATTTCCTGTTGAAAATGAAAATGATGTAATAAATCAAAAGGAATATGGTAGCATAATCGGAAGTTTGAGATATGTGACTGATTGCACAAGGCCTGATATTGCATATGCAGTAGGAGTACTTAGCAGGTTTACAAGCAAGCCAAGTAATGAACATTGTCATGCTGTAACAAGAGTTATGAGATATTTAATTGGAACGAAAAATTGTGGTTTGTTCTATAAAAAATATCCTGCTGTACTTGAAGGCTTTTGTGATGCAGATTGGAACACGTTATCAGGTGATTCATGTTCTATCACTGGTTATGTCTTTACTTTAGGTGGTGGTGCTGTTTGTTGGAGATTAAAAAAGCAAACTATAATTGTTAACTCTACCATGGAGGCTGAATTAATTGCTTTTAGCTTCAGCTAGTGAGGAAGCGAATTGGTTAAGAGATTTATTGTATCAAATTCCTTATTTTGAAAACCAATGCCTCCTATTTTAATTCATTGTGATAGCACCGCTGCAATTGGTAGAGTTCAAAATCGATATTACAATGGTAAATCCAGACCTATAAGGAGAAAACACAGTAATGTAAGATCATATTTGACAAATGGTACCATTAATGTTGATTATGTCAAATCTTGTGATAATCTTGTAGATCCTCTTACTAAGGCCTTAACAAGAGAAAAGGTATGGAGCACATCGAAGGGGATGGGATTGAAGCCTACAAATCCTTGAGTCATATATGAGGAAACCCAACCTGGGGACTAGAGATCCTATAACCAGGTTCAAAGGGAAAAACTAATCATATGATGACTTGTTGTGAAAAATGCACTATCTTTTTATTTCCCTTCATATGATGTGAGTGCATTGTTTCCTATAGTTTGTGAAGGTTGAGTTGATAAAACTCTTAATGAATATATGTAGCCCGTATGGGTGGAGTGTTAAACTTACAGGAGCAATCTCGACAGATTTCACATATGTGATGTGTGGAAGTAGGTCGCTTCCTATGAGAATTGGGCTTATTCTAAAAAACACTCATGAAACCGGGATAGCACATGACCATAACGTGTTGGCTTTAAAGCTCATGTCAACACCTTGATTATTATGTGTGAGCAGTGATATTTTATTTCCCTTAAGCAGTCATAGTTCAAGTCTGAGACCACTACGACTCTGGAGTAAAAATTATTGTTTCACTAAGTAAAGGTTCAATGCAAAGCACACCTTTATTATGCATGGTAATCTCCTTCAGATGATATACTCTCTTGTCTAATATTTAAATGAGTGGGGGATTGTGTTAGGACCGAAATAAGCAGATGTAACGCGGAAGCTAGCAAAGCAAACCTCGAAAGACCATGAGTAAGAAGACAAACAAGAAATATACAAAGACACAAAGATTTTAATGTGGTTCGGTCAATCGACCTACGTCCACAAAGGAGATGAGCAATCCACTATATAAACATGAGAGTACAAAATATAGAGAGAAATAACCTCAACCAATTCACTCGGAATACATGGGAGGTTCACACAAGTGATAACGTATCAAGCTTGTGACCCACAAATTCTCCCCCTAACCAAAACTCTCAAAGCCCTTAAGATTACATTGTGAATGTTGATTAAGTTAGAAGGAACAAACCTCTATTTATAGAGTCCTAAACCTTTTCCTACAAGAAAAGGACTTGTCAATCCAAAACTTTTTCCTAAAGGAAAACCTATTTATGGTAAGAAATTCAGGGCAAATAAAACTCAACAAATCTCCCCCTTGGCTTGAATTTCTGACAAAATAAATTTGTCCACCTTCTTCACATAATCTTCAACAGCTTATTTCTCCTCTCCATAATCTCCTCCATCAAATCTATGTATCAACACAGAGAACTTCTCTGAAACAATTTCTCCAACAAAAATCTTTATTACTGTAAAAAAGGTTGCGGCTAGAACTACGCCCGCTAAGATGAACACCCATCTTTTTAACCTAGTTCAATCATCGATTTTTGAACCACTAAACCTGACTCCATCATTGAATCTGGCTCTAATACCACATGTTGGGATCGCGCGTACCACCACCCTAACTCCACATTAGTATGATATTGTCCGCTTTGGGTCAAGCCCTCACAGATTTGTTTTTGGGCACATCCCAAAAGGCCTCATATTAATGGAGTTGGGTGAGCACTTATATATTGGTACATTTCTTCTTCTCCATCCGATGTGGGATAGGTTGTTACCCAACAATCCTCCCCTCAAACCAAGACCACACACTTTGTAACCTCCCCTTCAACGATGATACATTTGATCTGTGCTAACCATCTTGCACCGCCACTACTGACCAGTGGGACACACCGCTCGACCACCACTTTGTCAAGAAGACTTTCGACACAAGGCATCAACCGCAGATCTCCAATCGCTAGGTCACACCATCTGATCTGCCAAATCATCTTGCACCGCCAATATCACATAACGGGACACGCCACCTGGACCACCACTTTGCCAGGAAGACTTTCGACACAAGGCACCCCTGCAGATCTCTAGTCTTGTTGTCACATCGGGAACTTCTCACTAAACGCAGTCCACTACTCCGACACACCCAAACCTGGGCTCTGATACCACTTGTTAGGACCGAAATAAGCAGGTGTAACGCGGAAGCTAGCAAAGCAAACCTCGAAAGACCATGAGTAAGAAGACAAACAAGAAATATACAAAGACACAAAGATTTAATGTGGTTCGGTCAATCGACCTACGTCCACAAAGGAGATGAGCAATCCACTATATAAACATGAGAGTACAAAATATAGAGAGAAATAACCTCAACCAATTCACTCGAAATACATGGGAGGTTCACACAAGTGATAACGTATCAAGCTTGTGACCCACAAATTCTCCCCCTAACCAAAACTCTCAAAGCCCTTAAGATTACATTGTGAATGTTGATTAAGTTAGAAGGAACAAACCTCTATTTATAGAGTCCTAAACCTTTTCCTACAAGAAAAGGACTTGCCAATCCAAAACTTTTTCCTAAAGGAAAACCTATTTATGGTAAGAAATTCAGGGCAAATAAAACTCAACAAATTACCCAACAAGATTGTTGATGTGACCATTTTAATATTATACAAATTGTTACATATTCACATTGCCACTGCCACACTAAGTCTTTGCTGAAATGTATGCCATTTGTGCCTAAGGCATATTGCATATTGCCTTCATGGTCAATTAATGACCAGAGGCATAAGGCATATTGCTTTCTGAACGTTGGCAATGGAACGTTGGCATCTGCACGTTAGTGCATTTGTTGCCCTCAACTTTATTTCATTTTTTACTCCTCCATTATTCTTGTAACCTATGTAACTCCTAAGACCATTATCTTCACTATTTACTACACCATTATCTTCCTATTCATTGCTAGGAAGACTTCTTCTAGTACAAATAGTGGTGGTCTTCATTTGATTTGTAACACACAATACAACAAAAAAATATAGAGTGCATAAAATTTATCAAAAAGAGAGTTCTTATTAGTTGAAGGGAGGTGTTTCTTACCAGCTTGCATGACCCATTAATTCAGCAAAATTACTAATTACTCCTGCGGGACCCGAGGATACCTAAAATATTAAACTAAAGTAGTGTGGTTATATTTTATCCACGTAGAGAAAAATATGTGCAACAAATAAAACAATCTAGTACTCTCTTCATTTTATATTATTTGATTATTTTATTTAAATTTTGTATTAACTTTAAAAAAGTAAAAAATAAATTAAATTTTATGTAATATTTTAATTTATGATATAGTTTTTGTCTTTTTAAAAGTTAAATTTGATCAATCTTTAAAGTTAGATTTGAATTAAATTAATTAATGAATGTTTCCAAATTAACATATAGATATTCAAAATTATACGATAAGTTACAATTTCTTCTTATTTTTAGATGATAAAATATACATTTTGAGATATTTACACAATTTGAATTCAAAACAAAAAAAGTGAAGAAAGAAAACTTACGGACCAAAAGAAAAGGTATATACTCCCTCCGTTTCTTTTTATATGTCATCTTTTTAGATTGCATTTGCATTAAGAAATTAAGTAACTTTACCCTTTTATTGTTATTTAATGTTTTCTTAAGTCAACTTTTCAATAAATGATGAATATGCTAGATTTCAAAAATTAAAATGCATTTGAATGACTATTTAAATTTTTGAGTTTATTTTAGAGCCAAATTTTTTCACCAATTGAGTATCTTCCCGGTTGGCAGGGCCGCCTCCCGTTCCCTCTAGAGACCGGGTGAGCTTGTTTGTATTTATTTATTTGAGAACGAGAGGATATTTATCCTAAAATTGTAGTTTCTTGGTAATATTAAAGGTGAAGTTTGAAAATAAATTTTATAGGTTTTAAATTTTAAAATGACTATGTCAAATATAGTTATTATGGTAAGATGATTTGTAGAGATGACAGTGATAAGGGTGATTGTGATAGTGGAAGAGGTTAGTATTGTAGTGACTAATATGATAATGGCAAATGATTGTGACTGTGTTGATTGTAATGATGAAGTTTGTTAATGTTAGTGATTACTCAAAAATGTCTGATGCTAGTTGTGATTGTGGGGGGTGATTAAAAGGTGTCTAATAATGGTGGTGAAGGTAATGGTTGTGGTCACTGGCGTGGTCAAGATTTTCAATAAGAGGATTTAAAATCTCTAAAAATAGATAGACGAAGTAGCTAAAATATTTTAATTATTTTATATGACACTAGTGTAATAATACTTTATAATTAAAAATAGGTATGTTGGAATTGGTAAAGATGAGGAGGTGCAACTTTTCTACTATTTTTTGGAGTCAGAATCAGAGCCTACTGCTGATCCTCTTTTGGTTTGGCTATCTGGTGGACCAGGTTGCTCTTCTGTCATTGCCATTGTTGATGAGATAGGTACTTTATTTTATTTTAAAATTTGGTCATTTGATTTTGATATTGCACAAACTTTAGAAACTACAATTTTTTTTAAAATTCTACAGTTTAAAATTTTAAAATGTATATTCCTCCATTCTCTTTTATTTGTCACATTTAGATGTAATATATATATATATATATACGAGTTTAAGAGTTAATTACTAAGAAACGCTTTAGTTTACAATATTATTAATCTAACTATACATGTATCTCAGGATACGTGATGTCTTAATTAGATGCAATTTTAATTTTAGATATATTGTGTCCAAGTGAATTCACATGTTTCTGAGATATATAACAAATTTTGCTCGCTCTCCTCCCTTCCATCTCTCTCGTCATTCTTCTATGTATCTGAGATACATGATTATCTCGTGCGCCTCTATCCTCATAACGCCCGTCTCTCTCTCCCTATTTTAGAATATCTGATAGCAAAAATGCATGTATCTAGGTGTATCATCCTCAATAAATGTTAGGAAACTCATAATTAGTGGTAAGATATGTAATAAGATAGTTTTCACTATTCAGATTTGGCATAACTATTTGACCTCGATCACTATATCTATCAATTGATGTTTAATATTGTTGAGTCTTGGAAAATGATTTGGGAAATAACTAAATAAAGCTAAGGGTAAAACATGAAAAATTAATAACTGACATGTTAAAAATGACAATTAACAATAATTTTGAAATAATGGACAAGTAGAGGGAGAATTAATTGTGTTTAAATTACAAAAGTAATTTTTGTTAGAAAACATTTGTCGATATGTTTTATTTACAAATATTTTCCAAACATAACATAATTCTTTTTCCTTTTCAAACAAACACTTTTTTAAAAATAAAATTAAAATAATAATAATCCAAGCTAAAAATAAGAAATTTTCTTGTTCAGGACCAGTCCGTTTTGTGGAACAAGTCTACAATGGGAGTATGCCTTCGTTTGTACTAAACCCACATGCATGGACAAAGGTTAGCTACATGTATTATTATTTATACATATTACATTATCCAATAATATTGTTTTGGCAAAAAAAATATTATAGTAATAATATACGAGTATATAATTAAGGAAACGTTACGCATATATATCGTTCAATTATCGATTTTCAGATAGCAAATGTAATATTTTTGGATCAACCAGTAAACACTGGATTCTCATATGCAACAAATTCAGCTGCATATAAGTATACTGATGTGCAAGCATGTGAATATGTAGATGAATTCTTAAGAAAGGTACGTACGTAAATTTTGAAATTTGTTATTATAAAACAAATTGGAATAATGTTAACTTAATCATCTAGTTTTTTTTTTTTATTTCAGTGGCTCAGTGATCATCCACAATTCATCTCAAATCCATTTTATGTTTCTGGAAATTCATATGCTGGCATGGATATTCCAATTATAACTCAGTTGATATCAAATGGTAAGATTTATCTATACGATCGATAAAACTATTGAGTAGATATTCCAAATACAGGTACTCAACACATATTGGGTTATGTGCATTTTTAGTAAAACAAATTCTTAGTGTAATTGCAGAATTTATGCAAAGTAATATACACACAAAATAGATCAATATCATGATGGAGACACATAGAGCTTGTTTGACATTACTTTCAAAAATTACTTATTTTTAGAAGTACTTTAGTTAAAATGAATTTTTAGAAAAGTAATTTTGAAAAAAGTAATATGCATTGGCTAATTCATTTGAAATGTGCTTTTGATAAGGAGATAATGTTTGACTAATCTTTTTTAAAATGTTTTTAAGAGTCAAAGTACGTAAAAGGACAAATATCAATGCACTTTTAATATCAATGCACTTTTAAAAAAGTAATATGATCAGTTGAATATTCTTAATTTGTCAAAATATTATATTTCGTAAATAGAAAATTGTGTTGTATATATCAATCAAAAATTACTTTTATACATATATTAAATGTCATCACCCTTAAAGAAATTAATCTTTGATTTTGCAATGCAGGAAATATAGCAGGCAAAGAGCCATTAGTTAATCTTCAGGTCCATATTTCTCTAATTTGTTATCTAATAACTAATTACCATCATCAAATAATCTTTCTATTTAATATATATATGTGTGTGTATATATATATATATATATATATATATTTATTTATTTATTTCATGCATGGTTAATTTCAGGGATATTTAATTGGCAATGGTGTAACAATTTATCCTCAAGATGAAAATTACCATATAGTTTTTTGCCATGGCATGGGACTTATATCTGATGAACTTTATAAGGTTTAAGTCACAATTAATTTATTTTAATTACTTTCCACATTATTCAAAAATGTATATAATTAGCTTTAGAATTTGACATATCAAGTTAATTTGAATATTAATTTGTCTTAACAGTCATTAGAGAAGAATTGTAGAGGAGAATACACAAGCATACATCCCAACAATACAGGATGTGCAAATGACTTTCGAAATTTCAAACAGGTTATAAATATTGTTTTACAGTACTATCGATCGATGTACTTTAACATGTGATAATATATTATTAATTATTTTTATGTGATTAAATTAAAATATAATTATGCAGATGATAAGAAACATTAATGTGGAACACGTATTAAAGCCCTTTTGCACAAATGATGATGATCCTAAAGACATATATCAAATGACTGGTGAAAGAAGATTACTTGATGATAAACTCATCTCCTTGCAACGTGAAGATAAGTGTGATGTAAGTTTTTTTTGTTTTTTTATTTCTCATATTTTCGGCATCAAGAAACTTTAATATTTATAGCATGTCAGAATGGAAGTTGAGGTGGTTAGCTAGACTCTATACCCATATACTCTCAGCATAGGAGTCTATTCTATTGTTGTAGTTAATGGAGAAAAAAATGATAATATCTTAGATGATCACTAAAAAAAAATCTTAGATGATCACTTAACTTCGGAGAGTTCTTTTAGAAAGTTGGTCATCTTTGTTTTATACTATAATTAGTTGATTGACTTTTGGTTAAAAAAAAATTGAATGACATTAAAAAAAAAAACTACCCTCATCCATCTGAGAAATTATATCCTAAAAATTTTGAAAAAAAAAGAATAAGACAAATAGAAGTGAAGAAAATGATCGATAATGGCCTAGGCTATATATACAAATTATTATATTTGTTGTCTGTGTTTTTAACTTAAATGAATAAATAAGATACTATTAACCGTAAAAACTTATTCTCAATTACTTCAGTCTGATTGGCGTAAGCATATGAGGTATTGGGCTAATGACCCTGAAGTCCAAGAAGCTCTTCATGTTCGGAAGGTATGTGGATTATATATATATATTATTTATAATATTGACTTGATACACCTCGTAAGAATCAATAAATAAAAAATAAACTTTCATAAAGTACACTAGTACATGTGCTAATTACTCATCAATGCATTCAATAATTATGAATCTTGTTCGAGTTGTCTCTAGATACATTGTATCTAATGAATGTATCTTATCTCACTCCTCTATCGTCCGCCTCTCTCATCCCTCTAGTTTTTTGTATTTATGTTTCATAATGTATTTATATTTCACACTTTCATGTATTCATATATTCAGTATTTAATATGCACTGATATATTCAATGTATCTGGGTATATCAAATTTATCTAGTATATTTAGTATAAAAATGCATTGATGTTTTCACTGTATCTGTGATGATACTAGTATATTTGTGCAAAAATACACCTATCTGGTATCAATTTTGTGATGTATCCAGGATATCTATGCATAAATAACATACTTAGAAAAAAATGCAAACGAAGATATAGTCATCCAGTTATAAGTATCCGGTGTAATTACGCCGTAATTACACACTTAAAAATATTAAGACGATAATATAGTTATTCAAATACATGTATTTGGTGGAATTACGTCCTAATTACATACTTACAATAAAAAATAAAGACAAATATAAGAGTGTTTGTCTAATTAGATTTTTTTTAAAAATAAAATGATAATTTTACTTGTGATTTTACTCTTTGCAGGGAATTATAGAAAGCTGGATAAAATGTAGAAGAGATATAAGTGAAGGCCCTCATCACAACTACACTTTGACGGTACATAATGTTGTACCATATCATGCAAATCTAAGCACTAAAGGCTATCGATCACTTATATACAAGTAATTAATATTCATTGTTACGTTTGTGTCTGTTTTAACTTTATATATTTGACTTGAGATTATAGTTATTGTCAACTAATAATTATAATTCTAACTCACATGATATCCGAATTTGGAAGTGTATAAAAAATCAAACCCATCAATAAATTAAACTGAAAAGAATGTTATTAAATATTTTCAATGATAATGCCAAAAGGCCAAAGGACTTATTCGTACCAAACACAAACTATTATATTATTAATGATCTTTTAAATCCAGGTTCCCAATTACTCTTCAGTTTTTAATATTTAAAGATAATTGGCATATTAGTTTATAGTGAAACAACTTATTTCATGAATATATATAATGAAAGTTTTTTTTTATGTTTAATTTAACAGTGGAGATCATGATTATATGGTACCTTTTCAAGACACACAAACGATGGATAAAGTCTCTAAACTACTCTATTGATGATGATTGGCGTCAATGGAACGTAAACAATCAAGTTGCTGGGTAATTAATCTCCAAATTTTACATCCTTAATTACAATTATGATTTTTTAATTAAAACTAATTAGTATGTTAGTTGATAATACTTAAATCATTTTTCTAATATCGTATCATTGTAGTTATATGAGATCTTACTCCAACAAAATGACTTACGCAACAGTGAAGGTATGAAATTAATTTTAGAAATAAGTTAATTACATGAAAATTGAGAAGTAATTATTGTGTCAATTTAGCCAGATTGAGTTATATTTAAAGAGCTTTATTTTTATTTTATATTTGTATTTAACTTTGCATTTATTTTTATTTTTGTTTAATAGGGATCAGGACACACAGCTTGTACAGACAAACCTGAAGAATGTTTTGTTATGTTCAAAAGATGGATAAATTATGATCCTTTATAAATAGTCCTCAACTTCATCTATATATCTTCTCTCTATTTTATTTTATTTTACTGAAAATAATATTTTCTTAACTTTACCAACTTTAGATGTTTGTGAACAAAATCTTCCCCTGTTCTGGTTTTACATGTCTTTTGGAAGAGGGGCTGAAGATGGGATTAAAATCTTGTAATGCACCTAATGGATTAAACTCTTCTATGCTAATAATAAAATTTAGACATAATATTTATGGTCCTTTTTCCTAGACTCCTTTGAGTGTTCAGAAAGTGCATTTAGAGGTAAAAATGTTATCTTAAAAAAAAAACTCCAAATTTGAGATGAAGGTGTATAACTCCTAAACATGGCATGAAAACATTCGAATAATGCAAGTTACATCACTAGATAGACAGTTTTGAGTCTATAGATTCATACATATTAAGCAAAATTTCTCAACACAATTCACTGAATTCTGTCAACCTCGTAACTTCAACATTAGATTCATTCTGCTAATTATCTAGTCTTTTCAACTAGAAGCCCATGCAAGTCTTGAATGAAGTTATCAATGTAGTTACTCATGAAGCCAGGACTCGAAAGAAGTTCCTTCCATTTCTTATGATTCTCTTTCACAAGACGACCAATTTGGCTACCTCTCTTTCAATTTTGTGCACATATTTGTATTTGGAGATATGGGATTTAATTGTTCACAAATGTGTCATAAAACTTTAAAGGAGGTCCATTGGTTCCTTCCTTATCATCAAATATAGCTTTCCAACAGATAACAACTTATTTCATGAATATATATATAATGGAAGTTTTTTCTTTTTATGTTTAATTTAACAGTGGAGATCATGATTATATGGTACCTTTTCAAGACACACAAACATGGATAAAGTCTCTAAACTACTCTATTGATGATGATTGGCGTCAATGGAACGTAAACAATCAAGTTGCTGGGTAATTAATCTCCAAATTTTACATCCTTAATTACAATTATGATTTTTTAATTAAAACTAATTAGTATGTTAGTTGATAATACTTAAATCATTTTTCTAATATCGTATCATTGTAGTTATACGAGATCTTACTCCAACAAAATGACTTACGCAACAGTGAAGGTATGAAATTAATTTTAGAAATAAGTTAATTACATGAAAATTGAGAAGTAATTATTGTGTCAATTTAGCCAGATTGAGTTATATTTAAAGAGCTTTATTTTTATTTTATATTTGTATTTAACTTTGCATTTATTTTTATTTTTGTTTAATAGGGATCAGGACACACAGCTTGTACAGACAAACCTGAAGAATGTTTTGTTATGTTCAAAAGATGGATAAATTATGATCCTTTATAAATAGTCCTCAACTTCATCTATATATCTTCTCTCTATTTTATTTTATTTTACTGAAAATAATATTTTCTTAACTTTACCAACTTTAGATGTTTGTGAACAAAATCTTCCCCTGTTCTGGTTTTACATGTCTTTTGGAAGAGGGGCTGAAGATGGGATTAAAATCTTGTAATGCACCTAATGGATTAAACTCTTCTATGCTAATAATAAAATTTAGACATAATATTTATGGTCCTTTTTCCTAGACTCCTTTGAGTGTTCAGAAAGTGCATTTAGAGGTAAAAATGTTATCTTAAAAAAAAAACTCCAAATTTGAGATGAAGGTGTATAACTCCTAAACATGGCATGAAAACATTCGAATAATGCAAGTTACATCACTAGATAGACAGTTTTGAGTCTATAGATTCATACATATTAAGCAAAATTTCTCAACACAATTCACTGAATTCTGTCAACCTCGTAACTTCAACATTAGATTCATTCTGCTAATTATCTAGTCTTTTCAACTAGAAGCCCATGCAAGTCTTGAATGAAGTTATCAATGTAGTTACTCATGAAGCCAGGACTCGAAAGAAGTTCCTTCCATTTCTTATGATTCTCTTTCACAAGACGACCAATTTGGCTACCTCTCTTTCAATTTTGTGCACATATTTGTATTTGGAGATATGGGATTTAATTGTTCACAAATGTGTCATAAAACTTTAAAGGAGGTCCATTGGTTCCTTCCTTATCATCAAATATAGCTTTCCAACAGATAACAACTTATTTCATGAATATATATATAATGGAAGTTTTTTCTTTTTATGTTTAATTTAACAGTGGAGATCATGATTATATGGTACCTTTTCAAGACACACAAACATGGATAAAGTCTCTAAACTACTCTATTGATGATGATTGGCGTCAATGGAACGTAAACAATCAAGTTGCTGGGTAATTAATCTCCAAATTTTACATCCTTAATTACAATTATGATTTTTTAATTAAAACTAATTAGTATGTTAGTTGATAATACTTAAATCATTTTTCTAATATCGTATCATTGTAGTTATACGAGATCTTACTCCAACAAAATGACTTATGCAACAGTGAAGGTATGAAATTAATTTTAGAAACAAGTTACATGAAAATTGAGAAGCAATTCATGTATATCAATTTAGCCAGATTGAGTTATATTTAAAGAG